TTTGTTGTAATATATGATTTGACAAAAGTCAAGTTTATCATTCAATTTCTTTCCATATTAGAACTGTATTGTTTCTAACATAGACCAATGAAACTTCAGCAATTAAGCAATCATCTAAAAATCAACAATCGGATTAATAAGGTTGTCAGCTGATTTATTTTAACGCTAAAAATATAATTTATTATCAACAATATTAATCCGATATTTAAGTTGTTCCTTTATAATTCCTAAGCTAAAAAATTGAATCAGTCGGTAGGCTTAATATTATTTTACAATAGTTCTAATCATAATTTACCTAATGATTAAAATGATTAATTGGTATTACTTCATGAATATAATCTCGAATAAACGTACACCTTAGGTTTAAATTATTGATATTGATTTATAGAAAGATTATAAGTTTAGTATATTTTTAATTCTTTTTAATTTTTTTAGCCTTTAAGTCTGATTCTATGCTTTTGTCTTATAGAAAAGTTTAAAGGGGTTTCATTATTCAAAATTTAAATTCTTTATCATAACCACCAGCACGTTGCATATTATAAGTGTTTTATTTGTAATAGAACCAAACATCCTATATATGTTTTGTTGTACCTCCGTTAAAAGATCTTATTGAAAAACATGAGAAGACATAACTTTAGTTCAGGGGTGCTTTGTTCAATTATCGTACAATGAATGCAGAAATTTCATAAATAAAACTATAATTTCAAGATATAAAGCATTACTCTTATACTATGTGCCTTAAAAGAACTTGCATTATTCGATCAATTCAATGCACCACTAAAAATACAATTTTTATAAAGAAGTAATAAGCAAGCGGCATTCATATAAGCATGAACGAAAATATTTGAAAATTTGTACCATATTATTATCTTCACGTCCGTCTCCATTACAAGAAACCTCTTGAGTTCCATCATCCAATAGAACATCATGACTGTAGAGTGGTAGATTAGTACGTTTATGAAAGAGATTAATAACATCACCGTCCATTAAATGGTCTAGATCGACTTTAGAACCATGATGCCGAATAATCCAATGTTCGTCCGGAGCTCCATGCATCCAAAGAGTCACTAAAATATTTAAAGGATCAGTTGTAATTATGCAAACTGTTAATAAAATAGATTTGCGTTATATCGGTATGGTTATGGTTTTGCTTAAAATATACCTTGCTGATGGTTTGATTTGGGGGTTGTCCCGTGTACCGTAAAATGGGAATGCAATTTTTCACCTGTTTCTTTATGTTTAAACCCGAAAATGTTACAAGTTGAGAAAGGAACTTTAACATTCATATCACAAATCGTCCAAAGGTCGTGTTCAAAATCTAATTCTTTGTCTGTACAAACGACCTTTGTGGATTAAATTAACAATTAGGTAAGTAATAAAGGGAATTAAAAGTTTTTAATGACAACTTACCATATATTGTTTATTTTTTGGATATTTGACCCTTTTAGTAGATAAGTATTTTCTAGTAGGTACGTGAAATAACGCAATAGTTGATTCATATTTAATTGGTTTCCTAATTAATTCGATACGCCACTGCAAGGTAGAATTGCAATTAAAAGTCTAATAAGAAATATAATGAAACATTAACTTTGTTAAAATATTATGCCTTAATATTCTCCTCATCACCATTTCTATGGCAAGAAACTTCTTGAGTTCCATCGTCTAATAGAACTTCATGGCTGTAGAGCGGTTGATTAGTATTTTTATGAA